CACCAGGAATCAGCTTGCTGTGGTTGGCAAGGCAGAATGGCATGAGATGAGATTGGAATAGTAGAGGGGGACAGAGCCATGAGAAACTTATAAGCCATTTTCAGGAGTTTAGAGGTTTGGAGCAGCAATTGAAGATTTATAAATAGAAGAATAACATGGTCCAAGTATGCTTTAAGATGAATCCATTAACAAAAACTCAGGCCATGCAAGTTGGCTCATGCCTGTAATCCCAGCACTTTGGGAGTCCAAGGCAGGAGGATCACTTGAGCCCAGGACCTCGAGACCAGCCTGGGCAACATAGGGAGACTCCATCTCTATAAAAATTTTAACAAATTAGCTGGGCATGGAGGTGCATACCTGTGATCCCAGCTGCTTCGGAGGCTAAAGTGGGAGGATCACTTGGGAAGTTAAGGCTGCAGTGAACCATGATCCTACCACTGTACTCCCGCCTGGGCAACATAGCAAGACCCCATCTCAAAAAAAAAAAAAAAAAATTCTATCCAGCCACTGTGAGGATAAGTTGTTGGAGGGGAATAATAAAGTTGTTGTTGTAACTTGGGCCAGAGCTGATGGTGGCCTGCAGTAAGGTGTTTGCACTAGAGAGAGAGAAGTAGACTTACTAATTCAAGTAAAACTTTGGACTTTGTTACCTCTTTTGCTTTTGCTAGCCACATGCAATCAATCATGAATTGTTGCTTTTTGTTTGTTTGTTTTGAGATAGAGTCTTGCTCTGTCACCCTGGCTGGAGTGCAGTGGCATGATCTTGGCTCAATATAACCTCTGCCTCCCAGGTTCTCCTGCCTCAGCCTCCTGAGTAACTGTCACTACAGGCGTGCACCACTATGTCCAGCTGATTTTTGCATTTTTGTAGAGATGGGGTTTCTCCATGTTCGCCAGGCTAGTCTTAAACTCCACCCACCTCAGCCTCCTGAAGTGCTGGGATTACAGGTGTAAGCCACTGTGCCAGGTCAATTGTGAAATCATTTTTTTTTTTCTTGAGATGGAGTCTGGCTCTGTCACCCAGGCTGGAGTGCAGTGGTGTAATCTCGACTCACTTCAACCTCTGCCTCCCAGGTTCAAGTGATTCTCCAGCCTCAGCCTCCCAAGTAGCTGAGATTACAGGTGCGTGCCACCATGCCCGGCTAATTTTTGTATTTTTAGTAGAGACGCTGTTTCACCATATTGGCCAGGCTGGTCTCGAACTCCTGACCTCGTGATTCACCTGCCTGGGCCTCCCAAAGTGCTAGGATTACAGGCATGAGCCACCGCACCCAGCCATGAAATCTTAGAGATTCCAACCTTTACAGTTTCTCATAGGATTGCCTATTTCTCTGTTCCCACTGACTCAACCCAGGCCCTGTTACCTCTCACCTGCGTAACTGCAGCAGCCTCATTACTTATCTCAGCTTTCAGACTTGACTTGTTCCAATAAAATCTGCACACTGCTGCCAAAGGAAACATTTAAAAATACAATTCTGACCATGTTTCTGTTCTGCTCAAAATTCCCAAAAGTTTCTACAGTTTGAGAGTCAAGGCCCCCCGGTGGTCTAGGCCAAATCGATTCAGTTAAACTATAATACTTGCCTGGTGCTTTTCCTATAACTATTCCTTTTTGTATGTTATTTTCTCATGATATAATTCCTTCTGGATATTAGTCCCCATTTTACAGATGCAGGAACTGAAACTTTGAGTGGCTAATGTCGGAACAAGTCTTTAACCTGTAGCTTTAGTCTGTAGCTAGATTAAGTTTTTCATTTTAAGTGTTTTGTAAAAGTGTATAGAATGTTATAATTTTTTTTTTTTTAAAGATACAGGGAGGGTCTCGCTCTGTCACCCAGGCTGGAGTGCAGTGGCACAATCATATCTTACTGCATCTTTGAACTCCTGGGCTCATGCAATCCTCCTACCTCAGCCTCCCAAGTAGCTGGGACTTCACATGCATACTACTACACCTAACTAATTTAAAAACGTTTTTTTCAGAGATAGGGTCTCACTTTGTTGTCCAGGCTGGTCTCCAACTCCTAGTCTCAAGTAGTCCTCCCACATAAGCCTTCCAAAATGCTGGGATTGCAAATGTGAGTCAGGGAGCTAGCTCTGCCTCAAATTTTTTAAAGACTCACCAAAATGCCAAGGATATCAGGAAAGAAAGCCTATCTAGGACAATAGCTGTAATCTTAAGGAGCCGAGGAGCCTTGTGAATTGCCTCAGGCCACATTACTGTTTATTAAACCAAACTGAATTCAAGACCAGGTGAGTGGAGAGAGTATAGAGGGAAACCTAGACTGGAACAACAGGCTCTCCCACTGCAGATTAATGAACTCTAAAGAAATCCTTCTGGCCCAGTGCAGTAGCTCACGCCTCTAATCCCAGCACTTTGGGAAGCCAAGATGGGTGGATCACTAGAGGTCAGGCGTTTGAGACCAGCCTGGCCAACAAGGTGAAACCCTGTCTCAACTAAAAATACAAAAAAATTAGCCAGGCGTGGTGGCAGGCACTTGTAGTCCTAGCTACTTAGGAGGCTGAGGCATGAGAATCGCTTGAACGAGGCAGGCGGAGGTTGCGGTGAGGCAAGATTGTGCCACTGCACTCCAGCCTGGGCAACAGAGTGAGACTGTGTCTTTGAAAAATAAAAATAAAAGGCCAGGTGCGGTGGCTCACGCCTGTAATCCCAGCGCTTTGGGAGGCCGAGGTGGGTGGATCACGAGGTCAGGAGATCGAGACCATCCTGGCTAACATGGTGAAACCCTGTCTCTATTAAAAATACAAAAAATTAGTTGGGCGTGGTGGCGGGCGCCTGTAGTCCCAGCTACTCAGGAGGCTGAGGCAGGAGAATGGAGTGAACCCAGGAGGTGGAGGTTGCAGTGAGTCAAGATCGCACTACTGCACTCTAGCCTGGGTGACAGATCGAGACTCTGTCTCAAAAAAAAAAAAAAAAAAGGAAACCCTTCAACCCCTAGAGAGGGAAACTGAAACCCTTCAACCCCTAGAGGACAAAAATGTTCCTAGGAGTCCTTCATGTTACAAATCATATTTATTAAGTACCTATTTTTGGCCAGGCCCTGAAAATAGTTTTTGGAGGGAAAAAAAGTATATAGGGGCCATAACATCAGGAAGCTTATGAAATGTCTGCTGGTATACAATTGTATAACTTCAGTGATTAAATTGTAAACCGGGCGCCATGGCTTATGCCTGTAATCCCAGCACTTTGGGAGGCCAAGGCAGATGGATCACCTGAGGTCAGGAGTTTGAGACCAGCCTGGCCAACACTGTGAAACCCCATCTCTACTAAAACTACAAAATTAACCAGGCATGGTGGGGCACAACTGTAATCCCAGCTACTCAGGAGGCTGAGGCAGGAGAATCGCTTGAACCCAGGAGGCAGAGGTTGTAGTGAGCCAAGATCGCACCATTGCACTCCAGCCTGGGCAACAAGAGCAAAACTCGGTCTCAAAAAAAAAAAAAAAAAGTAAATCATAAAGTTGCTGAGGAAGCTTGTTACCCAACCAAACTGGAGTCTGCTTCCCAATGCAGCAAGGCCTGACATCTATATTGAGGCTTTACATGAGGGTGTTTATTTGCAGGGCGCCAAACAAGGAGAACGTGGCAGCTCACACTTAAGACCTGACTTCCCCAATGGCTTACAAACCAGAGTGGGTTTTTTTTGTTTTTTTTGTTTTTTTGCTTTTTTGTCAGAGTCTTACTCTCTAGCCCTGACTGGAGTGCAATGGTGCGATCTGGGCTCACTGCAACCTCCGCCTCCCATGTTCAAGTGATTCTCTGCCTCAGCCTCCCAAGTTGCTGGGATTACAGGCATGCACCACCGCACTCAGCTAATTTTTGTATTTTAAAGAGAGATGCAGTTTCACCATGTTGGCCAGGCTGGTCTTGAACTCCTGACCTCAGGTGATCTGCCCACCTCGGCCTCCCAAAGTGCTGAGATTACAGGTGTGAGCCACTGTGCCCGGCCCAAGCAAGAGTTTTTAAAGGGAGGGGTAAATTTCAGAAAAGCAGAAGTTACAGGCAAAATTGTATATCAGTACATGAGGTTATACACTGGTTTGGCCTAAAAAGATGGACTATCTTTTTTTTTTTTTTTTTTGGTAGAGGAGACAAGGTCTCACTCTGTTGCTCAGGTTGGAGTGCAGTGGTGGGAACACTACAGCCTCGATCTCCCAGGCTCAAATCAAGCAATCCTGCCACCTCAGCCACCCGAGTAGCTGGGACTGCAGGCACACAAGCATGCCCAGCTAATTATTTTATTTTTTATGGAGATGAGGTCTCACTGTATTGCCTAGGCTGGTCTTAAACTCCTGGGCTCAGGCAATCCTCCTGCCTGAGCCTCCGAAAGTGTTGGGATTACAGGCATGAGCCACCACACCTGGCTCCCGTGGATCCATTTGATATGGGTCTGGGTTTCTGAAAAACAACTCAGGGACATATGTAAAGATGTTATCTTTAGTTTTTATAAAGAACCAAACATCTTATGACTCAAACTTCTTAGGCTGTTGTTTTGAGCTACTATTACTTTCTTGCTTATCAAGTTGCTCAGGGCTAGCTAGGTATGGGGAATTTCCCTTAAAGGAACTTGAGATTTTCCCTTATTTCCGTACTTGGTTGAGAGGGCCAGGCAGGCCCCTAAGAGGGGTCCCTGCTCCATCTCAATATCTGTGACAGAGGACTTAACCAAATCTGAGAGGAAGGCCTTGATGAGAGGAAGACCTGAAGAGTTGAGACCTGAAGAGTGTGTAGGAGTTAGCTGGGTGAAATGCAGAGGTGGGTAGAAGCTTTTCTGGCGGAGGGAAACCCTAGTGTCAAGGGAGAGCGCATGGTGTGAAGCACTTCCTGAGGCTGGAGCAGAAAGAGGAGATCCAGCAGAGCCAATGGTAGGCTTTGCTGAGAATCCCTAAACAGCTCTTGATGCATTTAAAGAAGGCAACACCAATCCATTAGAAAAGTACATTGATGTCAAAACAGTCTTATTTAAAGCTGAATACCTGTATGCTCTCTTTGGCAGCGCATATACTAAAATTGAAACAATACAGAGATTAGTATGGCCCCTGCACGAGGATGACAGGCAAATTCATGAACTGTTCCATAGTAAAATAAACACACAAAAAGGCTGACTATGGCCAGGCGCGGTGGCTCACACCTATAATCCTAGCACTTTGGGAGGCCGAGGCGGATGGATTGCTTGAGCTCAGGCATTGGAGACCAGGCTGGGCAACACGGTGAAACCCCATCTCAATAAAATGCAGAAAACTAGTCGGGTGTGACCAGCCTGGGCAAAACCATGAAACCCTGTCTCTACTAAAATACAAAAAATTAGCCAGGCATGGTGGAGTGCGACTGTAGTCCTAGTTACTCGGGAGGTTGAGGCAGGAGAATTGCCTGAAACCGAGAGGCGGAGGTGCGGTGAGCCAAGCTCAAGCTCACACCACTGCACTCCAGCCTGCTCGACAGAGCGAGACTCCGCCTCCAAAAAAAAAAAAAAAAATGCTGACTATCTGGCTACGCTTCTGTAATCTCAGCACTTTGGGAGGCAGAGGCTGGAGGATCCCTTGAGCCCAGGAGTTCAAGATCAGCCTGGGCAACATAGTGAGTCCCCTATCTCTACAAAACATTTAAAATATTAGCTGGGCCTGGTGGCACACGCCTGTGGTCCCAGCTATGTGGGGAGGATTCCTTGAGCTGAAGAGATTGAGGCTGCAGTGAGCTATGATAGCACTATTGGACTCCAGCCTGGGAGAAAGAGCAAGACCATCTCTCTCTCTCTCTCTCTATATATATATATATAATTTATTTAATTTTTTTTTTTTTTTTTTTTTGAGACGGAGTCTCGCTCTGTCGCCCAGGCTGGAGTGCAGTGGCGCAATCTTGGCTCACTGCAAGCTCCGCCTCCCGGGTTCACGCCATTCTCCTGCCTCAGCCTCCCGAGTAGCTGGGACTACAGGCGCCCGCCACCACGCCCGGCTAGTTTTTTTGTATTTTTTAGTAGAGACGGGGTTTCACCGGGTTAGCCAGGATGGTCTCGATCTCCTGACCTCGTGATCCGCCCGTCTCGGCCTCCCAAAGTGCTGGGATTACAGGCTTGAGCCACCGCGCCCGGCTTAATTTATTTTTAATTTTATTTATTTATTTTTTGAGATGGAGACAGAGTCTCACTTTGTCACCCAGGCTGTAGTGCAATGGTGCAATCTCAGCTCATTGCAACCTCCACCTCCTGGGTTCAAGCTATTCTCCTGCCACAGCCTCCCGAGTAGCTGGCATTACAGGCACCTGCCATCATGCCCAGCTAATTTTTGTATTTTTGTAGAGATGGGGTTTCACCATGTTGGCCAGGCTGGTCTTGAACTCCTAACCTCAGGTGATTCGCCTACCTCGACCTCCCAAAGTGCTGAGATTACAGTTGTGAGCCACCGTGCCCGGCCAAGACCATCTATAAAACAACTGAATAACCAGCTGAATAAAAGCCAAATAACCAGCATTTATCTGGTACATAGCTACAGTGTGTAAATCACTGGTGAATTCAATAAGCACAAATAACAAAAAGAAAAAAAATGAATTCAATAAACACGTGTACTTTGAAAATGTATTTTAGGCAGGGCGCGGTGGTGATCCCAGCACTTTGGGAGGCTGAGGCAGGTGGATCACTTATGCTAAGGTGTTTGAGACCAGCCTGGCCAACATGTTGAAACCCGGTCTCTACTAAAAATACAAAAAGTAGCCAGGCGCAGTGGCTCACGCCTGTAATCCTAGCACTTTGGGAGGCCGAGGCGGGCGGATCACCTGAGGTCAGGAGTTGGAGACCAGCCTGCCCAACGTAGTGAAACCCCGTCTCTACTAAAAATACAAAAATTAGCCGGGCATGGTGGTGCGCGCCTGTGCTCCCAGCTACTCAGGAGACTGAGGTAGGAGAATCGCTTGAATCCGAGAGGCAGAGGTTGCAGTAAGCTGAGATCGCGCCATTGCACTCCAGCCTGGGCGACAAAATCGAGACTCCGTTTCAAAAAAAAAAAAAAAATTTGCCAGACAGTGGTGGTGGGTGCCTGTAGTCTGCGCTACTCTGGAGGCTGAGGTAGGAGAATCGCTTGAATCCAGGGGGTGGAGGCTGCAATGAGCCGAGATCGCGCCATTGCACCCCAGCCTGGGAGACAGAGCGGGACAACGTCTCAAAAAAAAAAAAAAAAAAAAAAAAAGCCAAAGGTAATTTCCCATAGGGAGGCACGGGGTGTTCCCTTCTAGGCACGCAGGCCCCTAAAATCCCTTCGGGCGGGCGGGTGTGGGGAGACCAGGCGGCTAGGAGACCCGGGCGGCGTTAGGGGATGCGAGCAGACTCGCTCAGCTGGGGAATTGGCGGCAATACTGCCAGGAGGCGGAACCTAGGGCGCTCGGCGACGCGGTCCTGCGGACTGTCGCTAGTGAGGCACCCGCCGGCCCGGAAGGGGCTGATGTGAACTGTGGCCACGGCAGCCATCGCGCTTTGCAGTTCGGTCTCCTGGTGTACGGCCAACGCCAAGCAGGGGATTGCGTTCTCTCCAGTCGCAGGTGAGTGACAGCCCCTCCTTCTGGGAGGACCGGCGGGCAGCAGCTATGGATCCCCTAGAAGGCGCACTTTTAGGGCCAAGACCTGCTCTGGGTCCCTGCCTGTGGCACTGCGTGAAGGGGCGCCTGTTTTTCACCCCGGGGTTAGGCGGCACGAGGGAGGACAGGTCTCATCCATACTCCGCAGGGCCGTCTGATAGCCCTCGGGGCAGAACACTGCTGCTGTCAGACGCTGGTCTTTTCAGGAAAGAACGAGATGGCTGCAAGCAAGCCCCTTCCTTTCCCTGGGCCTCAGCTTCCTTAGCTGGTTAAGTGGAGGTGGCGGATCTCACTGACAGCTGAAGAGGCTATGACGCGGCCTTGTGTTTTCAGCGCTCCCAATTAGTGTAGAGGCAAATTGAGCTTCCTTACTAGTACTGGTTAACGTTTTCCGTAGCCCAAAGTTCCAGTTGAGTGGAAAAAACATACAGTTTTGAGAGAACTGTACTGATTTTTATTTTTATTTTTAAAATTTTTGTTGTTGTTTTGAGACAGAGTTTCCCTCTTGTCACCCAGGCTGGAGTGCAGTGGCACGATCTTTGCTTACTGAAATCTCTGCCTCCTGGGTTCAAGCGATTCTCCTGCCTCAGCCTCCCGAGTAGCTGGGACTACAGGCGCCCGCCATCATGCCCGGCGAATTTTTTGGTATTTTTTAGTAGAGATGGGGTTTCACCATGTTAGTCAGGATGGTCTCGATCTCCTGACCTCGTGATCCGCCCGCCTCGGCCTCCCAAAGTGCTGGGATTATAGGGGTGAGCCACCGCATCCGGCCTAATTTTTCTATTTTTAGTAGAGATGGGATTTCGCCATGTTAGCCAGTCTGGTCTCCAACTCCTGACCTCAGGTGATCTATTCGCCTCCGCGTCCCAAAGTGCTGGGATTAAAGGCATGAGCCGCCTCACTGGGCCACTGTACTGATTTTTAAGGTGTTGAAACTTTTCCAAGATAAAAATTTGTTTTAAAACAGCTAAAACTTTGACATTGTTAGCTGAAAGAACCAAATTCGTCAGCAATTTAAGGTGTTTGGTACATTGGACAAAATGAGGTGAAGAAGTCCTTTTAACTTGAAAAATTAAACCTACTATTATTTATTTGTGTGTTCTTACATCAGCCTCTATATTACCAAGTGTCTTTGAAGACGTCCTATATTCTGTGTTAAAATATCAGTGAAGAGTAAGTCGCATTGAAACAATGAAAGAAGGAAAGAAAAGGAACATTTATTGACTACTATGAGTAAGGCACTAGCTGTCATTTTACAGATGACAAATAAATGGTAGTGCCAGTATAGCAAAGCAACATGAATACCTACTATTGTACCTTTCAGTAGACTTATGTCTGTCACCAAAATGTTTTGAACTTAAAAAATGTTAAGATCGTTCATTGGCATTTTCTGAGTTTGTAGAAAAGGAAGGTGTCTTCATTTTAGAAATATCAGAGATGCATTGTCAGTAATTATAAAGATTAGCAGTTTAAATAAGGTACATTTTAACCTTCCTTTGACTCGCATTATTATACTGGAATGGAAATTCAAGCAAGAATTAAGAAAAAAGATGAGTCTAACAGAAATGAAAATCAGCCTGGGCAACATAGCAAGACCCAGTCTCTCTCCAAAAAAAAAAAAAAAAAAAATTGCTGGGTACAGGGCTCTGGCTAGTAAGCCAGTAGTCCCAGCTACTCGCTGCTGAGATGGGAGGATTGTTTGAAGCCGGGTCAAGACCTGTGACCTGTGATCATGCCACTGCATTCCAGCCTGGCTGACAGAAAAGGACACTGGTGCTAAAAAAAAAAAAAAAAAAAAAGAAATAGCAAAAGAAATGAAAATCATTGCCACATCATTTGAAGCTTACAAGTTAGAATGCTATATTAGTATCTCTTTTCTTTTTTTTTTTTTTTTGAGACGGAGTCTTGCTCTATCGCCCAGGCTGGAGTGCAGTGGCTCCAGGCTCACTGCAACCTCCACCTCCAGGCTTCAAGTGATTCTCCTGCCTCAGCCTCTCAAGTAGCTAAGATTACAGGCGTGCACCACCACACCCTGCTAGGTATATTTCTACACTTTTTTTTTTTTTTGAGATGGAGTTTCGCTCTTGTTGTCCAGGCTGGAGTGCAGTGGCATGATCTTGGCTCACTACAACCTCTGCCTCCTGGGTTCAAGTGGTTCTCCTGCCTCAGCCTCCTGAGTAGCTGGGATTACAGGTGCACGCCACCACGCCCAGTTAATTTTTGTATTTTTAGTAGAGATGGTGTTTCACCATGTTGGTCAGGCTGGTCTTGAACTCCTGACCTTGTGATCTGCCCGCCTCGGCCTCCCAAAGTGCTGGGATTATAGGCGTGAGCCACCACACCTGGCCCATTTTTGGATTTTTTTTTTTTTTTTTTTGTAGAGACGGGGTCTTCCCATGTTGCCCAGGCTGGTCTCAAACGCTTGTGTTCAAGTGATCCCCCACCTCAGCCTCCCAAAGTGCTGGGATTACAGACGTGAGCCATCATGCCCAGTTCATCCTTTTTTTTTTTTTTTTTTTTT